TATATATATATAGATACACATCCACATGTGCAGCTTTACGTGCATGCACACATACACACAAAGAGAGAGAGAGAACATGTACCTATATCTGGATATATCCCTGACAGCACTATGGATGTCATAAAAGCATGGAATGATTTTACAGACAAGTTGCAACATAGAGTCATAATGCGTTTCTGAATCGCCAATACTCACACATAACACAGGGCCTGATCATCAGCAGGTGCTGGAGAAGATCTAGAATGTGAAGCATATGATGCAGCATCTTTTTACAGTCGTGTTCACAAATGTCAATGTTTTATGCTGAATGCGAGAGGCATATTTATGTGGTTAAAAGTGAGAGATGCTTTTTTTTTTCCTTTCTTTCTTTTTCTCCTTCTCTTTCCTTTTCTATTTTTTTACCCTGTTGCACCTCTGCTTCAGCTACACCTCCCCCAGAAAGCATCTGCTGTTCATCACCGCCTACAACAGCGATTATTAACAAGCACTGAAAATGAAATTGTAATCTATCTTTTATTTCTTGATCAGGAATTCACCCTCATACTTTAAGCAGGTGAATTCTGATTCAGATCTGTAATTATCTGACAGATGTTAGCAGCAGCTGCTGCTGAGCACAAAACCCTGGCTATTACTACAGAAATCTAAGAGCTCCTCGAAAGGTGGAGTGAGAAGTGAAAAAGAATGTATTCACACACAAGGGAGAAAAAAATTAAATACCTAAATCTGAAACTCAGATTGCTGGTTCTTGAACTATTCAAAATCAAATTACCTTTAACAACGTCAGACAAAGCCTCTATGTGGCAAGTAAGAACACCTTTACATTTTCTCAGCAAATAATGTTTCCTACTGAAATATAGCTTTGAATACTTCTGCTTAATCACTTTTTTTGGTGAACGCTGCTACCCCAAAAAAATCAGTCTAAATATTACGGTACCAACTTTGCAGCTCTGTATGGATAAATATGAACGATACCTCGCTAGCCACAACTGAATGCCTGTGCACCCTTGTTTCCTGAGGAAGATACCAAAGAGATTGCAACTTGCTTATTCAGAATGCTAGCCCTTAAATCACAAATACCGTATGGTGGTGCACCACGTTATCTCTGAAATGACGTCTATATATCTGTGTACCCCTCTCAGCAGACAGCAAGAATTACCATAATATAAGGCTCCCTATCTCCAAATTTCTGATTTGCGACATTACCCACATGTTTATATCCTAGCACTTTTCTGGGACCCTGTACTGCTCCTGAAAGTACAAATTACAGAGAAGTTTTATTATGCTGAATAGTTTTGTATCAAAACTATGTAGGCCCAAATATACTGTACTTCCTCTTGCAAGACGCCTTCAGAAGCTATCAAAGGGTTTGGTATTTCAGCTCTTTGAAGTGCAGAAACCAACATCACTTTAAAATCTTATCCTGGAAATGTACCTAAGAACATAATAAAAATTGCCCTTTTTCTGTGAAATCTTTCAGAAAGGGAATGTGAACCTAAGCTGAGATTTTGATACTTCTGGTAAATCTGTAAAAAACTAGGACTACAAAATAAAACTTATACAGCATACAATTCAGCACCTATAAAAGGACATTTGTGTTTGATCCCGTTAACTATGGCACTAATAAAAAGCTCCTCAAAGAAAAATAATGCTGAAGCATTTGTTTCTCTAGGCAGATGTGCACACACATGCACGTGCACATGCCACCTGATTTCAGTCATGGCTATCAGAATTAGAGTAACAGTTTGAAAGCCTAATAATTATCAGTGTCACGTTTTGTCAACACCAATTTGGTCATATCCATTACAGCATTGACAATAACATAATTCATTATATGAGCATATTCCATTATTTAAGCAACCTTGCATTAAATTGTAAGCCTAAATGCATTATAGCTACGGGGCAGACGAATCTACCACCCACAGTGAAGATTCTTTGCGTACCTGTTCCCCAAATGCCAGGTCTCTTCAAACTAGAATACTTCTGGGGAAGGACTGAATGCCCTTTGGAACTGACAGAAACCACAGAGTTACCTGCAACTGCACTCAGACTGAACTGGCCCTTTTCAAGGCCACCCTCTTAAGCAAGTTGAGGCTTCTATTACCAGAGGCTATATTAATTCCATTTGCAGACCTAACTCAATGCACGCGACCACAGGTTTGAGAAAAACAGCTGCCAGATTTTTGGAGCTGTAAACCCAGCACTGCTGTGTCTAGATGACTATCCACAAGCTTAGGAACAACCTCATTTCTAGATGGTGCGTGTGGGCAAAGTTAACTCCACACCATGACAGCTAGGGAGAACTGTAGTTTAAAAGAAAGTTCAAATGCCATATATTGAGTGAACTTCACAAAAAGAAGCCTTCTATGAAGCAAGTGGATTTTTCCAAACTTGTATTAATTACTGCAAGCTTGAAGTAGTACTCCCAAGAGCAAATATCTATGTGCTAGAGTAATAGCTCCTTTGTGTTTACTAATGAGAACTTGGAAGTGACTTCACAAAACAGGCTGTTTCTGCTGTTCTTCCTGAAAATGTTTCAGGTATTACTTTTCTGCATTAACATCATGTGCCATGCTTTCTGTCTGGCAGTCAAAATCAAAATCCATTACAAAGATCTCCATCGAATGAAATCATTTGTGCAAAGGCCAGGACAGTCCACATTTGAGAAACACAAGCACCTTGAGCTTCTTCTTTAGGAGAGTTGTAGTATGAATGTGAAACTCTGACTAATCCCACTCCTTCAATAAAACCAGGCAGGGCAGTAATGATGATTACTAAAGACAGTAATAACTTTTCTAAGAACATCCAAAGTGATGGCCCACGTGATTTTATCTTTGAAACCCATGAAGCTGTAATCTGAAGGTGAATTATCCATCTGAAGCTGTAACATAAAGGTAAATTAATGTTATAAAAAGAAAAAAAAATTCATTTACAATACTTGCGTAAAGAAACGAATTTTGATTATTAGGCTGTTTATACCACAATTCATCATCTAGCTTTACCTACTTTATATCTGGTCCAATGAGCGAATGCCTCCTTAGCATAGCCCGGGCTTGTGCATTGGTTAAGTTAGTGGTTGACTCTTCATTAATAGACAGGATGCAGTCCCCCACACCAATCCGTCCATCACGACTTATTGAGCCTCCATGGATGACACTGCGGACTATCATTCCTGAGCCATCTTTATTGGAACTTACTGTCATCCCTATTGTGAAAAACACATGAAACAATTAATAACATCTTAGAACCTCTGCTCAGAGCACCAGGAAAAAGAAATGTAACCTGGGGCAGTGAACGTAAAAGCCAGCTAGTGGACCTGTCAACATCAACAAGTCTATACACACTGCTCTTACTCTCTCTTCAATTTCCTTCCTCCCATAGGAGACAGCAGTTACAAATCACAGTCACAGTTTCTTTACTCTAGCTTGTGTCATTTCACATAACCAGTCTCAAAAAACCCAAAACAAAACAGAAGACAATAGTGGAAAATTTAAGCAGAAAATAAACCAAACATAGTGAAATTGCTTCTGAAACAGATTTACCCCTCCTCTGCATGGTTCACTGTTAATATATATTTCAGTTTAGTTATGATGGCTCTCGTTGGAAGAGAGGTGAAATGATAAAAGTTCATTAGGAGCATAAGGCCAACACAACCACACACTTTTTTTTCAACAGAAAGGCTGAATTAGATCCCACTGAGACAGTGTTTGCCTTCCTGTTCGCCTTTGTGGCCCATCACTTAGACTCAGAAGAGCATCCTCACTTCTGAGACAGCCCATGCACTACTGATGGATAAAGTCCACTACATGAGTTACACCACAATCCCTCTGGTGGTGAAGCAGGACACTGCTTCTCAATGTTTATACACCCCATTTAACTCCATTTCCTTTACACTAACGAGAAATGAGACAGAGATGCTCTTCCCCCTTCTCACCCACAGTAAGTGCCCAGGACTGTCTTACATGCATGACTTGTCACTGTTATTTTCAAGGAGGTTACAGAATCACAGAATGTTAGAGGCTGGAAGAGACCTCAAAAGATCATCTAGTCCACCCCCCTGCCAGAGCAGGATCACCTACAGTAGGTCACACAGGAACGCGTCCAGGCAGGTTTTGAATGTCTCCAGAGAAGGAGACTCCACAACCTCCCTGGGCAGCCTGTGCCAGTGCTCTGTCACCCTCACAGTGAAAAACTTTTTCCTAACATTTTTGTGAAACCTCTTACGCTCCAGCTTCCACCCGCTGACCCTTGTCCTACCACTGGACAAGGAGAAGAGCCTGGCTCCGTTCTCCCGACACTCATCCTTGACATATTTATAAACATTAATGACATCACCCCTCAGATTCCTCTCCTCCAAACTCCAGCTCCTCCAGCCTTTCCTCATAAGGGAGATGTTCCACTCCCTTCATCATCACTGTGGCTCTGTGTCAGTCTGTTTCAAGCCATTCCTTGCTCTTCTTGAGCTGAGGGGCCCAGAATTGGACACAGTATTCTAGGTGTGGCCTCACCAGGGCAAGGAGAGGGGCAGTAGCACCGATCTCTATCTACTAGCCATGCAGCTTCTAATACACCCCAGGATGCCATTGGCCTTCTTGGCCATGAGGGCACATTGCTAGCTAATGGTCATCCTGCTGTCCACCAGAATCCCCGGGTCCCTTTCCCCTACACTGCTCTCCAGCAGGTCAGTCCCCAACCTATACTGGTACTTGGGGTTGTTCTTTCCCAGATGCAAGAATCTACACTTGACTTTGCTGTATTTCATAAAATTTCTCCCCGTCCAACTCTCCAGCCTGTCTGGGTCTTGCTGAATGGCAGCACAGCCTTCCGACGTGTCAGCCACTCCTCCCAGTTTTGTGTCACCAGCAAACTTGCTGACAGTGCTCTCTGTTCCCTCACCCAGGTCACTGATGAATTTATTGGACAGTACTGGTCCCAGTACCAACCTGTGAAGGACTCCACTAGATACAGGCCTCTAGCTAGACTCTGTCCCATTGACCACAACTCTCTGACTTCTTCCCTTCAGCTAGTTCACAATCCACCTCATTACCTGATCATCCAGACCACATCTCCTCAGTTTAGCTACAAGGATGCTGTGGAAGACGGTGTCAAATGCTTTGCTAAAATCTCGACAAACCACGTCCACTGCACTGCCATCATCTATCCACCTGGTTCTGTCCTCATAAAAGGCTATCAGGCTGGTCAAACACAACTTCTTTGGCAAAGCCATGCTGACTGCTCCTAAGGACCCTCTTATCCTTGATATGCCCAGGGACAGCACCAAGGATAAGTAGTTCCATCACCTTTCCAGGGATGAAGGTGAGGCTGACCAGTCTGTAGTTATCCAGGTGCTACTTTTTGCCCTTTCTGAAGACTGGAGTGACATTTGCTTTCCTCCAGTCCTCAGGCACCTCTCCTGTTCCCCAAGACTTATCAAAGATGATGGAGAGTGGCCTAGCAATGACTTCCACCAGCTCCCTCAGCACTTGCAAGTGCATCCCATCAGGGGCCATGGATTTACCATGTTCAAATTGCCTAACTGATCCTTAACCCAGTCCTCATCAACCATGGCAAACTCCTCCTTTATCCTAACTTTCTCAGTGGTCTGGGGGTCCTGAGGACAGTCTCCAGCATTAGAGACAGAGGCAAAGAAGGCATTCAGTAACTCTGCCTTCTCAGAGGATCTCTGTCACCAGGGAACCCACCTCATTCAGCAGTGGGCCTGCACTGCCTCTAGTGTTAGTTTTATCTGTATTGTATTTGAAGAAGCCCTTTCTGTTGTCCTTGACCTCCCTCGCAAGGTTTAATTCCAAGGAGGTCTCAGCTTTCCCAGCTGCCTTCCCTCTGACCACAGATTCCACCCAAGCGGCCAGCCCTTCCTTCCACGATCTATAGACTCTCTTCTTCCACTTAAGTTTTCCCAGCAGGTCTCCTGGCTCTCTTTCTTGATTCCCTATCCATTGGGATGCTCTGATCTTGAGCTTAGAGGAAGTGATCCTTGAATATTAACCAACTCTCTTGGGCCCCTTTACCTTCTAGTGATCACATTCCAGTCATGAGCTGTCCCACCATATCTCTGTAACTGCCACTAGATCATAACCCCTTGACGGCACACAGATATTTAATTCCTTCTGTTTATTCCCCATGCCGCATGTGTTCATCTACAGGCATTTCAGGGAGTGAGCTGAGCATGCTCATCTCACCCTAGTGGGGGTGGGAAGTGTTCTGCTCTTCATTAATACTAGAACACTGCCCCACTGTTGCAAACCCAGGTACAACCCCATTCCCCTTCGAATCTAGTTTAAAGCCCTATGAGCTGTAATGAGCCCTGCTAAACCTTGTCCTAGGATACTTTTCTCCTTTCAAGATAAGTCTTTCCCACATATGACCATCAGGCCTAGTGTCTTATAAAATCACCCATGATCAAAGAACTCAAGGCCCTGCCTGTAGCACCAGCCTCGACGCCAGGTATTTACGGACTGGATCCTTCTATTCTGTCGCCAGCAACTGGAAGGAGGGAAGAGAAAATAACCTGCACTTCACACTCTTTCATCAACCATCCCAAGCCCTTGGAGTCTCTTTTCACTCCCCTCAGACTATGGAATGCAGCTTCCTCCCCACCTGTCTGGAAGATCAGTAGTGGATAACAGTCTGACAACTAAACCAGGTTGGGGAATTTTCTAGTGATAACCCTGATTCGGGCCTCAGGAATACTACAGACTATCCTGTGATTAGGGCCCACTCAGCATACTGGATCTTCTGTCCCCCTCAGAAGGGAATTGCCTACTATTACAACCCTTCTTTTTTTCCTCACGGATGTGGTCATGATACGGTTGGTGATCATGAAATCAACTCTGATGACAGTTTCAGGAAAAATTGTTCTTCACTAAAGGCAATGGAAATGGTTAGCACCCCAGAAGTCCAACCAGTGGATTTTTACTGTCTTAGTACTGCTAAACTGATTTTTATTCTTTTTTGTGCACTAATATGGAAGCTTTCCTTTACAGACAAGATTAAACCACCAAAGAAAGAGCCCTATTTAGAGGAATATCTAAACGGAGAAGGAGGCAGTGACTACCCGACTATGTGTTCTCCTGGTTTTGCATGTGAATATCAGGCTAGCAAGCACTGGAGCACAGCCGTGCTTTTCCTTATTGTCCAAGCTATGAATGGAAGGAGGATGACCGCTATCCAGAGCAAAATGTCCAAGGATACCAACAACAAAAAGATTCTAACCATTTAAACATAAACACGGGTATAGAAGACAGAAGCTGAACACCTTACTCTGTGACCTTAGACCTCGGAAGACAGACTGGCTGAACAGAGTTTAGAAGGCAGTACAAGCCCCAGGCTACCCAGACTCAGACAACCACAGAAACATCCACCTATGTATCTGTAACCATTTAAAGAACAATACTAATTTAGATATTTATTTATTCTGGAAAATAAAAATTTCTTAATAGTGTTGGCTCCTCACACCCTCCTGTAGCTGAGATCAACATAGCTGTCTAAAGTATAAGAAGGTTGCCCTGATTAGCAAGGAACTGCCCAATAAACTTTTTAGACACAGGAATACGTGTAACTCTGCTTTGGTATGTGGAAGCCAAGGTTTACCTTCTGGAAAACCAGCAAAATCTATCTTCAAGAATACAGTGTTATCACTGACTGGAGATTTATATTTATGATTTGTCAGGTAATGATATCGGCTGTGGTCAGGTGTAATTTGAATATGGGTGTATCAGACTTGTGATACAGATACACAATACCACTGATTTATTGCCTTGCTGTTAGAAAAAGTAGAGGTAACCTGCTTCTGTCACCTGCCTCTGAGGCAAGTGTTACAATGTTGAAGACACTACAGATGGTGCCACAGGTGCCACTCTGGTGTGGACATTCCAGGGTTCACATTCACATACTCCTCTCCAAAAACCATTGCTTAACAGTCACTTCTGAACATAAACACAACTCTGCTACAGAGTGCTCTCCAGCAGACACAGGCAGCGTTCACAGAAAGGCAAACTAACTGCCAAGGACACCGCTGAAATGTGGTTTGAACCTAACGCTCCTGCTTGGTTAGCCCAGTAACAAACAATAGTATTGCTGAAGCTAGTGCAGTAGCAGTTCAGAAAAACATCACCCCAGTTTTGATGCTGACATCCTCATTAGAACAGATCTGCAAAGCTGATGTCACACTTTGGAGAGCTACAGTTTCAGCTTAAAAACACAAACGTCACTGTTAGGTTGTCAAAATGAATCACACAGGACAATGGCTTTTCAGCTCTTCTTGCATGTGGGTGCTCCATCCTCTTACCTTTTAAAAATCACAATAAGAGGTTAAAGCTCCAGCTGTGGCTCGTTTTGAAGAGCGCAAGCTATGGGTGACACCATTCAAAAAAGAAAAAGAAGTGCCTGTTCTCAACTGAAATAACTGATGCAGCTGCAGCTTTCAACATCATTCACAGCTCTTGATTTAACTTGTTTTGTAAAAATGAAAAGTTAAAAGTAGTGCAGCCATGTGTGTAAATTGGTCACTGTAACCAGGCAGCTTCTCAAGCTAGAGCATACATAGACTGAAGAAAAAGATTACCATCGAAAGCAAGGAGAAAGCATTATCCAGTCATGCTATGTATACGTGAAAGGCCAGTCATGTAATGTCTATCAGTGTGCATCCTACCCCAAGTTTGTATATTTATACTGCATTATGCTTGGCAGAAAAGCTGTTCTCTATGTTCACTGCACTTAAAATATGCATGGACATACACAAAAACCACTGCTTCATAGAGTTAACAGGCTACTGTAAACAAAACTATTTGAACAAACTCCAAATGCCTAGAACCGCACTGTGAACTGCATGTTACACAGCCTGGCAGTAAGGCCAGTAAAGGCAGTAGTTAAACAAGCACTTTCTCTTACTTATCATAGAATGGCCTAGGCTGGAAGGGACCTTAGAGATCATCTAGTCCAACCTCCCTGTTTTGGGCAGGGACGCCACCTCTCGACTAGACCTGGCAACACATGGGGACCGAGCGGGAACTTTGCACCAACAAAAGATGAAATTTAGACCTGCATCAGCCTTGCCTGCAGATTTATATTTAGGTGAAGCTGATTTAAAATCAGATCCATTCCTGATCCAGTTTGGAGGCTGACTGTATCACAGAGGAGAAGGCAATATGTGGCAGACTGAGCATCTGGCCATGAAACAGCAGTTTATTCCAGGCAGAAGCAACCACTGAATTACAGAACAGCAACATGCTCTCCACCTCTGCACAGCAAGTCCCAAATCGTTGCTGTTTATGAATAAGGGGTGGAGAGGCTGCTTTCAGGGTGCTTTCTTTGGACAACCTGCCTTAAAGCATTTGCATAGTCACCGCTAACAGCAACTGCCCACAGGAACTCCTGCCTTTCCAACACCAGAGAGTCTTCAAGAACGTGCCGTTGACCAGAAGAAATGGCACCAGGAACCTAAACCAAAGCAAATGAACGCATCAACCATGAGTGGGAGGGGAGCACCGGTGTCTCTCACCACAAAGCTCCCAGCCATGCTGGCTCTGGTAACTGGCCTTGGGAGGATGCCATCCCTGTGCTCCTCCTCACACTGCTCAAGGCTGCACCAGAGACCAGGAGAGGACACCAAAAAATGGTTCCATCTGTTGGGACTATCAGCTCCAAGATGTGCCTCTAGTCAGTATGTTTCGGAAATTGCACATTGCAGATAAAAAACTACGAAATTCTCTATAATATGATAGTATCATTGAACTAAAAATACTACCCACTAAATTTATCAGTGATCTGACTTTTTTGAAATACTGAGCCATTTAAGAAAGAAGTACAATTATATAGCAAGGAAGTGAAAAGCTTGTTTAGATACTGTTGACTGTCCTCAGAAAGCAAGATCCTTTGTGTTTACATACATTTGCACCTTTTTGACCAAAGTCTTCTCCTACAGCATTCCTTGCCTATACTTCATTTTTTCACTGTATTATTTCACAGAATCACAGAATTATTGAGGCTGGAAAAGACCTCTGACACCATCAAGTCCAGCCTATGACCCAACACCATCACCCTGGCTACATCATGGCACTAAGTGCCACATCCAGCATCTCCTTAAACACCTCTAGGGATAGTGACTCCACCACTTCCCTGGGCAGTGCATCCCAGTGCCTGAGCACCCTCTCCGTGAGGAAGCGTTTTCTGAGATCCTAAACTTTCCCTGACAGTTTCAGGCTGTGCCCTCTCATCCTATTACTGGTTGCCCAGTAGAAGAGCCCAAACCCCACCTGACTACAACGTCCCTTCAGGCAGTTGTAGAGAGTGATAAGTTCCCCCTTGAGTCTCCTCTTCTCCAGGCTAAACACCCCCAGCTCCCTCAGCCTCTCCTCACAGGACTTTCCCTCCAGTCCCTTCCCCAGCCTCGCTGCTCTCCTCTGGACCCGCTCCAGCCCCTCAAGGTCTTTCTTGCAGTGAGGGGCCCAGCCCTGCACACAGGGCTCGAGGTGAGGCCTCACCAGTGCTGAGCACAGGGGCAGAATCACATCCCTGCTCCTTCTGTCCACACTGTTCCTCGCACAAGCCAGGATGCCATTGGCCTTCTGGGCCACCTGGGCACCCTGCTGGCTCCTGTTCAACTGGCTGTCAACCAGTACTCCCAGGTCCCTCTCTGCCAGGCCACTCTCCAGTCACTCCTCCTCCATATAGACAATAAAAAGCAATGTATTAAAACTGTTCTGTTAACATTTAGGAATGACTAAACTCCTTCATGGGGAAAAAAAAATTTCTCATTGAGACTGGACATGTTACTTTTGCGCTCATGGTGACAGCAAATGGATTCACTGCCATCATAACCAAACAGTGCAAGAGCAGCAAAGAATGAATATCCTGTTACATTTTACTCACTCTAAAGAAAATGTTTAGTCTTCACTAGTAAACCAGGAAACATAGAGCAAAAATGGAAAGCCATGTTCTGGAACAGGTAACAAAAAAATTTTAGCTACCTTACCTAGACTTGAATTGCCTTTTGCAATAGTGATAGTCTTCTCATACATGTTTTTGACTGAATCTGGGGTTATGGAACCTCCCTCCGAAGATACTGGGCATCTCTTTTCCGTTAAAAGCATGTGATCCTAACACAAGGGAAAATAACATCAGTTCAGAATACCGAGATAAGAATATGAGAGGACATACTGACCTCAACTCATCTTACTTCATATAAAAATCCTTGGAAAAGTCAGTCCATCAAAGATTAAACCAACATATATGAGGTTTCTACTATCATTCAGGTAATGTACCACACAGTATGTTTTTAATTTAGGGATATCAGTTACACTCTTAAACTTATTAAGATGAATTTGAGGGCTCTAAGACTTTCTCACGACAGATGTCTGATAATCTAGCAGTGCTAATATCAAAAAAACTTGTAAGAAATTGCAGGTCTTTTAACAATTCCTTAATAAATCACTGGAGCATAGAAAAAAGAAATGCATCATAGAAATGAGCATTATATTTGCACATTGTGGTCTTGCAGGCCAGCTCACAAGCTGAACTATGCAGGCTTGCATGAACACTTTCATACCACTCCCTCTTGGCCTCCCAGACCTCCCCTGGTTTCCAGCTGTGCACCTCCTCCTTGCACACACGCCTCTGCAGAGGTTAACCAGGTCTAACAAAAGCCCCCTGGCCTGCCTAACAGTTACGCTGTGGTCCAGGAGTATCTACTGCTGAGAGGTATGAGCAGACATTTACAGACTCCTGTATTGCCAGTTTCTGGGAGAAGACTATCATGACAACAGACATTTATAACCAAAGAACCATACACAGCTATCAGCTGCTGTCAATTTCTGTAGGAGATTCTACGGTGTGATATGGCCTTTTCATTACTGGTGCTTTTTTTAATTTAAAAAAATAAAATAAAATCTTTACTTTTCCACTGGGATTGAACTGCATGGTAGTAGCAAGGCTTGTATTGTGTGCTGTTTCTGCTGTTGTCTGAGATCCAGCCCGCATTGCTGTGTTTTCACTTTCATTCTGGTTGATATCCGAAACATCAAGAAGATCCTTTTTAGTAAAACCAGTAGCAGTTTCCAGGCTATTGCCCACTACGGACTTCTGCCCTCTCACTCTCTGATTCGGATCCATGTTGTAGAGATTCTTGTCAGATGCACAGGTATCAGCTGCAGCCTTTGAACATTCCTCTCCAACAGACTGTTAAACACAGAAGACAATGAACAATCAACACTCCTTTGTAGTGTACCTAAGAAATATATTTTATGGTAAAATCTTTAATCGAAACTAATCTCATAGAATTTAAACGTATTTGTTGCAACATCCATGTCTTTAGTAGATTCCTACTGGCATTTTACTACAAAATTTACTCAATTCCTCAGACAATTTCTTCAGTTTTCAAGTACCAGAAACCAGTAAAAGTAAGTCAGAGCTGAAGGCCAAATTCTAATTTGGTACTCATCAATAGCAGTCCACGAACTTCAGCAAAGTAGCATTCACTCACACATTCTCAAACTAGACATAACTCCAGCAAGTTATTCAAGTTAAAACATTGAAATGCTTTTTTCAGGTGGAAGAACTTTGCAAGACTAAGGTCTTCACTTTTAAAACACTTGGCAAGCAAAGAGCAATTTCAAGCAATTCAGACAATAAGCATGCAATCTGATCATCCATTAAACAGCATATAAATGCATTTAAAAGTACTTTCCACACGAAGAGGAAAGAGTAAAAAACAGTCAAATCCCAGCACATCAAACATGGAGGGTTTAAAGTATGACAACAATGAAATACAATGATTTAGTTACAGAAGCTTAACAGGGTATGGACTATGACTGCAGTACTACAATTACATTATCTGCACAAAATTTAGACAGACTTTCAAAATTATAGGGTTCTGCATTTCAAACAGTTTAAGGGATTTCAATATTCAAAACCTTCTGAAAAAATTCTTTAAATGTTCTTTATCTGAGCTTGCAGAATAAGTAGTTTTCAAAACATGTAGGTCATCAGATATTAGAGAGATACCTCATGGACTTAAGAGGCTGGACGTAGGGGCTCTGTATCAGTATTAGAGACTTTTCTAAGTAAACGTAATCACAACAAAATCTACCTCTATCTGTCTTAGTTGTTATCCACTGGTACTTTCAATTCTACTCCTTTTCAAAAAAGTGTTAAAAACACCTTTCCCGGGATTTTCGGATACTTCGCAGTACTTTGCATCAGGGGCCTTAGAATTAATTTTTCTCATCTTTCACAAAATGCGTATATGCCTGCTCTGTCCCTAGACAACCATCAAAAAAGGTTCACCTGTAAATAAATGGTTTAAGTAACATCTGAGATGATAATTAAACAAAGCCTAAATACGACTAACCTGTGTGATGTAATCAATGAAATAATTTGCTATCTTTTGTAGAACAGAACACTAGGACTATAATCAATTTAAATTATTTCATAAGGTTTGAAAGACAGCTAGGATATTTACTTTTAAGTCTGTTTTGTCTACATTTCTGAACTGGTGAAAACAAGACCTAGATAGTACTCAACATTTATTCCACATGCCATATATACATACTAGAGTTGCAGAATATGCCCTTTTTTATTTTTGTTTTACTTAAGAAAAGCCAGTGCCATCATTTTTAAAGACAAACATGATTTCAAGAATTTTTAACTACAGCAACATGTGACATCATTAGAGCATTTACATTACTTTGACTTCAAGGATTCCTTTTCATCATCTGTTTTAAAAGTGACACCAAAGCCATTCAGAACCTGTCAACTGCCCTGCAGTCAAAAATATCTGAAATATTTCTGTTATAATTCATAGCATGTAATAGAAATTTCTTTTCATTTTGACTGCATTTTACTTGCTTCAAGAGTCTTCTTTTATGAACAGATTTTTCCTCTATGTTTACTTTGTGCAGTCAGTCTTAACTGCAGAGTATAAATGTTACTTGATGAAAACTTAATACCCATACTGGTGCAGGGAGGAACACTGAAAAATATGAACCGTAACCTTTAAAAAAAACATGTAAGCCAAAGCCATCTTTAAGTCAATGATGAAAATAACATAAGACTTTCTAGAGCCTCAACGTGATATATAATGTAAATCCAGTCTCTATCTCATAAAATGCTTCTCAGGATGCAAAATGCATAATCCGTTTAAGTAACAATTACAGAGTTAAACAATGCAGTCTGTCCCACCGGCACAGCAGAGATGTGCTCTTCTGTGGATTAGGAGAAACCATTAGAAGATGAATTTAGCTTTGCAATGAGTGACTCGTAAGGGTCGAACATATTCCAGAAGGGATAAAGGGAGCTACTGCAGCTCAGGTGTGGAGAAAAAAAGCAGCAGCTAGTCTACTCAAGACCACAGATGGCAGACCCTGAAAGAAATTCCTACAATGTTGCTTTCAAAGACGACTGCTAGAAGAAATGACTTGGAAGACTCTGGATTAGCAAAATAAATTTTCAGAATGCCAAGAAAAAAAGAGCATGAAAAACCATGGAGAGAAACAAAACACCAACTCTGATACAAACTATCAAGTCATTATGGGTATGTGATCAGAAAGAAAAAAGATACTGATCTTTGTAATATTCTTAAAGAACTTATTTTCATTTAGCAAATTTAAAATATTAGCAATCAGAAGTTTGCTATATACAGATTTATTTTAATAACAGTATTATAAATATTTCATTCAAGAACACAGTAAACAAATTAGCAAACATACTAAGAACCATAGAAGCAAAGCTTAGTAGGAAAGCTTACTCTTGCTTTTCATACCTAAAATATTGTGGAATAATGCAGTTATTTTGTGTTACCACTCTTTACTGTACGCTGAAGTAGTAACAATCAAGTTTTTGTAGACTACTCACTGCAGCTTTTACTCTAGAAGTATCTCACCATATTGCATCTGGCTATAGAAAACACAAATCCAAGCTTTCAAGTTTCTAGCTGCCTCTCTCTTCCTGAAAGATACCAACACTACTCTACACAAAACTGCACTTCAACCTGGTAACAAATAGCGCAGTTTGAACCAGGATGACATATAACATTAATATCTAATAATGCAGCCCTTTCACACTTACAATCAAACTTTGTCATCATAAAATCATCCTCCTTATTACCTTGTGAGTTGACAATGGAAGAGAGAAGCTGTAGTTCAGCTCACTGCTACAGGCACTGACATGCAGAGCTATCATTGAAGCCTGGAAGACGTCACTCTCTAGAGAATACTGCGATTCAAAGGTGGACTCATCCGCTAGATCTGCCTCGCCGGAGTCCACCTAACAACAAAAGCAATTCAATCAGCCAGGCTATCTGTTACCTTCACATCACGTAAGCCTTGAATACAGGCACCTCAGCCACTACATACTGATGCTTTTTCCCTTCCTTGTTTTATATTGAAGTTATATTTGCACAGCACAGTAGGAAAAAAAAAAGTGCTTCCAGTTAACAAATCGTGTTACTATATCTTAAGAGAATATCTGAAATAAAATAAGAGTATCAACTTGAAGGAGTTGCAAGGCTGAGGCAGGCTCACACCTGTTGAGAAAAGCATGACGTGTTGGTAGAATTCTGCTGTACTCCCTGGCACCAGTATTTTGATTTCTTCAGGGTTTTATTTTTTTCAATTTTCTTTTACAAGAATTAGCACTGAAAAAAATAATGAGCTTCACTTAATGCCACCTGCCAGCAATGTTCCTTCCACTCAACTTCATAGGTTCAGTTGTTTTTAAAAGGGTACAAAATAATGTTCCATAAAATGCAATGATTTTCAATATATTTCTCAAAAAAATTGTGACATGATTATTTATGATTTCTAAACACTTTACATTGGACAACAAGATTAATACGGACAATTCTCCTGTTTTACATAAGAAATAAAAATTTAAAAGGAGTGCGAGACACGGACATGAGTAGTATATGATTCCATGATTTTGTGTCTTTTTTTTTTAACTGACATGTATTTTTTCCAAGCCTCGTATACTTTCAAATACTAAAATAAAAATAAGTTCTAAAATACATACTATACTTCCATCATAATTCCATTTCCACTGGCAGAGCTAAAGCAAGCAGTGTATACTTAGAAAAACGATCAGTCAGTTCAGAGTTATGAAAAAACCGTAAAACAGTATGAATCAGCCAAATGCACCCATCTGCAGAGATGGGACCTAACTGTTGTTTTCCAGCCTCTGGGGTTAATCCTACTATGAATTCATTCTGTCAGATTCACAAAAGCAATAGCAACAATCTGCAGTGACTAAACATACTGATTTCTTTTTCGAGTACAAACGATCTAGGGGTTTTTATTTTCTCAACCCTAGAGACCTCAACAGCTAACTCAAACTGTTCCTTTGGTGTAACTTACTCTTAGTCCACTTTATGGAAAATGTAGACTGCTGCTACTGAAGCTATGTCCTGAAAAAAGTATAGGAAAACCAGGCACAGAGCTGCAGACTCTGAGTGTGAATAGATCTATGAAAAACTCTGAGTGCACTCTGGAAACATATCGTCAACTGGGTGACTGCACATTTCAATTTCATATTTTGCACATTTAATTAGAAAGTAAGGCAAACACCACTACGTAACTACTGTACCAAGGTAAGACACTGCAGAAGAGAACACAGTCTTGTTTAAAAGCAAGTCATTAAAACCAACTCGTCTTTTGCAAATGTGAAAAAACAGTAAACATACTGAGAATCAGTAATTCAGAGAATTTTGCCTCGGAAGGATCCATTTCAGGGTTTGTTTGGGTGTTGTTGTTTTTTTTCTAATGAACTAAGTTCTGATGTTTAATAGAAATTGCTTCCCTACTAATGTTCACAGAAAATAAGTGCCAAATAACTTCAGTATCAGATCCAGATCAGTACAAATAACCATGAGAAGACACACTCAGAATACATTTATATATTCTGGGCTTTAGTGAGTTTTTTGGTTGGTTTTTTTTTTTAGAGTGCTATTTTCCTTTTCATCTGAGTTGTTATTGATAACTTTTGGGCTATGTAAGGCACTGAATGCTCAGTTAAGCCGCATTGTTTGTACAAATGAACACCTTTTGACCTTGCAAATCTCATAATCACTGATTGATGATAAAGTCTAAAGAAAAGTATTAGGAGGAAGTGGTGGCAGCTCTTAAAGACAGACAGCATTCCTTGTAAGGCTGGCTTACATGCAAAAAGAGAGTTCCAAAAACTTCCCAAGGAAGAGGAGTGATATGATATATATGTGAAGAGATTTATTTATAAAATAAGTACATGAATATTTCTCCCCACAAGGACATCATTTTCAAAGAAACACTCAGTGCATGCAAGAAATATACAGCCATGCAATTCTGAGAATCTTAGACAAATACTTTTTTTTTTCCCCAGCAAATAAGAAATCACAGGCCAGGATCATAGCTCATGCAAACAGCTACAATCTTCGGATGCCAGTTTCTACCATGTGGGGCTTCATCCCCGGACTGGTGGATGAGTAACGTGGTGATAGTGAACACTAAAAGCAAACATGAACAGCAGCAAAGCAACCCTTTTTCATTACAAAATACAAAGACTTAAGAAATCTTTGGTAAGGTGGGCCACTAACCAGAGCCAGCTCAGCATGAAAGAGGGCTGCATCAGCTGGCCCCTCCTCCTCAAGTGATTGGGAAGTGTAGAAAAAGCAATCTTCCTTAGCAGAGACATAGCCCTCCTCTGGTGAAAGCTGCAGAAAGAACGAAGCTCTAAGTTGGATGAGTGGCCAGGACACCGGGTGTGCAGAATGCACCACGTGTGAGGGTTCAGAGGTAAAAGAATTCTAAATGCAGTGAAGAGTACATTTCAATCACAGTCACAGTGTTTGGCAGGTAGAGACCATTAGGTTTTTTACAAATTTACCTGAATTGATTCAGCTTCACATCTCATTTTACATCCTCAACGAAAAGGCCCTAACCAGCTATACTGCAGAGCCTACAGCTCTGAACTAATTTTCAGTTTCTGTCCTATATACTAAAACTACCACCAGAGCTGCCAACAGGGAAGAGCCTAACAGCAGATGCCTTTACAACCTCGCAAGTCGCAAAGTACTCTTGGTAGCAGACAGCAACGCTGCATCTGCTGCGTTTCAAAACTGTATCTGCTGGGTGGAACAGCCTCACGAGGACAAAACATAATTTTGACTACAACATAATTGGATGCTAGGTGCATTCATCCAGTACTGTGAAGAAGCCAGGGGTTCATAACGTTTAATTAATTGACAAACATAATTCCTGAAATACTGAAGTGCAAATGCTCAATGTTTACAAACCGCTGGAAACAGAAACAAAGAGACATCTTCTCTTTTAGAGTGGCATCTTAAGTATGAAAATGTCGATTTGCAAGACATTTTAGTATGTAACACAGAGTCTCCACTTCAGAAAACCAAACTTAACAATGCAAGTTAAAAAAGTACCTCTAATTATGAAAAGTGTAGTCTCTAGTAACTTTAACATCAATCATTCCCTCTCATCCACTCAACAAAGATCTGAGTGAAAATTTGATATCTGCATCCACAAGTATTACAACATTATCATTTTCTCTTTAACACACTAGGGACACCACTCCACTGGCATCTTTACTGATGCATTATCTGAGTAGCCCCAAGTCTCTTTCAACTTCATTCTTCTAATTGTTACAGAATACCTTTTAAAATCAAGCCTGAAATTATTTACGGCTATGTTAAAATTACTAGTTTGAGGTACAAGAATTAAAGACTATTCCCCAGTGTTTAAACATGAAGTGTGCAGTCTAAATACAAAGAGTACATATGTAATACACCTTGCAAAGCAAACAAATAGGCAAATTCCAGACAAACCAAATAAAATTGACTTTTTGTCACCATCTCACACATTCAGAGAATCTTGTGAAGTGCCCAAATTACACCAAACAACTTGCAGCCCTAAAAGACTGTGCCGGTTCCAAGCTGTTTTGCTGTTTTCTCAGACGTGGTAAGTCCTACAGTCACTACAGTAATCATACACTACATAGGCCACTCCTACATCCAAGGAGATACAGGAATATGCTAAAAGACAATTTCTGGGTGTTTTAAGCCACCAAGCTGTAGCCCAAAGCACAAAAAGTGTATGCAGTAGTGAGAACCATCAGGTACCAACAGCATGAGAAGTACGCATCAAATTCCCAAATCCTTACAGGCAGTGGTTTGGCAACTCCTATTTTAACTGTTCCTGTTGGGGCTCCTTTCAGTGCTTGCACTGCTTCCTCCAGGCTGCCATTTTCCAAGTTTATATCATTGACAAACATAAGCCGATCTCCAGGTAGAAGTCTGCCATCTTGCTCAGCCACACCCCCAGGAACTAACGAGCGAATCACAATGACGGTGTTTGCAGGATCAACAGGATCCTAATTAAATAAAAGGAAGAAAAACATTTTGGTTTACATACTCTTTTATGTCTTTAGAGGTTAACTTTGTGTATGAGCTTTTAACAGAGTCGCGTCGTTAAAGAAGTCGGAGCTCTCCTCCATGTGAACCCTCAGGCACGAACACACCCTCCCGTCCACACTGTGCATACATTTAGACTTCCACCTATTTTTAATTCTTCAATGTGAAAACTGTAACTCCTTTCTAAAACATGTCCCATCATAAATACCCAGCATAAAATGCTGCTAAATTGCAGAGTGCCGTTTGTATTGTAACTACACGCCAGAAATACAAATATTTCCCACTGCAGGGCCACTGTTGCAGACTTCATCCTCCCTTACATTCAGTGGTGTGGGAATACAGTTGGGCAGTGCAAACAGCGGTAAAGTTGACAAGGGCACTCTGATGGAACAAGGGCTTATTTTCAAAACCTCTCATACTTCAGGGCACCAGATTTTGGTCAGCTGATACATAACTGATAAGAGGCAACTCCTTGTGCACGCCTAATTAAACACTTCAGGTAAACAGGAACACACCAATACAGTACTCTAATCAACAACACACAACAAAGTGGTATTGTTTTCAAAAAAGAGAACTTCTTTCAAGTCCCCATCCTTCACTACACCAATTTTTTTAACAATACTAGCACCAAATACTATTAACAGGAATGCATGATTCTTTTATAACAACTATCACAGGTGCACACATTTGCATGTTCTATGCATGTTTCTATGTTTTGCTCTACTGAGTTACATTGACAAGGAATATCACTACATGTTAATACTTCCAATACACAGCAATTCACTTTAGTAAATGCACAGAAAAATAATGAGGAATATAATAAAGTACCAGCTTTACTGACAGCAAAAGGAAGAAAAAAATCAAACATCTACAAACTGTCATGCAACTATAACAATATTTCCACACCAAGATGTACATCTGAAGGGATGTACACCATCAAGGCAGCACTCAAACCCATAGGAACTGGAGACTGCTGAAAGCCAGTGCGAGAAAGAAGTGTGGAGGGGGAGAGAGAGAGGGAGGGAAGAAGGTAGGGAGGAAGGGAGGGAAGGACACCAAGAAGACCCCTAACACTTCATGGTAATTAATGCAGTAAGAACAACACCATGGAGCAATAAAACACAAGTAGAATACAGACAGCATTCACTGGAGACAGTGCTTAAGCCTGAACACTTGACATCTTCCTCACTCTTTTAACAACACTGTTAAAACAGTCATCATTAAAAAAACCACAGTATTTATATTGTTACTTTAGATGGCACTGCATAATCTATCTTTTTTGAAAAAAACAGTCTTCTCTCTAGCATATGTGAAAGTCTTATCTATCTAGAAATTATGCAGACTTTCCTGCAGGCCTGCTACTGCACAAAACATGAGGAACACGTTAGTATGAACAACACTGTTACTAACTTTTGAAAATTAATTGAAAATTTGATGGAAACAGCAAAATCCAAAGATAAATTTCGCTATAAACTTATTGCTTACAGTCTTAGATGAAAGCGGAAACGTCAAGGACAAACTGAAATGTTTTAACCATATTTCAAAGGAGAGAACATAAGACAAATCACAAATATTGTAAAAAAGCTAAGTTTCAGAAAGCTGACTAGAGCTGTAAGGTATAATGAAACCCACATCTGTAAAATACATAAAACAATTTAAGGTACTTCCCACAAAATTCAGTAATCAGTCATATAGGCAACCACCATTTGTGTCAATGCTTCAGAACAGGCTGAAGAAAAATATGTTTTAATTTGCACTGTTGTGGACTCCAAATACTCCGGTTCAGCTATGGTGTCTCATGGCAGTGCACCATGAGTAACACATTAAAAAATAATTACTGTTTCATAAAACAGATACCTTGACTATGCCTTTACCCTTCAGATCATTAAATTACACTGTTCTTTACCTTTATTGGTGTGCCAATGCAAAATACTACTGAGGCACAGGCTAATTCTAAGCAGCATCCCATGGGCATAATTTAGACCTGAAAGAGGCCTCCAGAAGCAAATAAACATACTCTCAGTGATAAGGTCCAGCAGAGACCGGAGAAGAGACCAGGTCCTGAAACGCCACCAAATAGCTGGACAAAAGCCTACACTGAATGCAGGGAGAAATTACATGGTCAGATTAAAAATTATCCACTGTGACAACTGGGAACCAAAGAAATGGTTTTTCTGGGATCCTGACCAAAGCACAGGCAGCAGACAGGCACTGAGCTGTACCACAGGACACACCAAGAATCACAGCTTGAAATAAAAAAAACACTTTTGAAGTCAAACACAGAATGAATGGGGGCATTTAGGTACATCCTGGACAGACAGAAGCTAAGCAAGGGATTTCAGAACTGCAGTTCGGAATTTTAGTAAATCCTGCTTTAAGCACATAAGTCCTTTATTGGATCTTACCCTAAGCACCTCACTGCAGGTGCAAAATACATGGCTAAATGCCTGAATATTCTAACTACATCACTCACTGCCCCAGGGCACTAGAAGATGAGCTTTCTTAATATACTAAGATGACCTTAGTATATTACAGATTATCTATTTTTTCTGAATCAGTACTATCATTACCATTAGAACCTGTTATCTTAATACAGTAAGAAGAATAAGTAATGTAACTAGTGGCATCCCACTAGTGTTACCCATTTAGCTTTGCTGTATTCCTTGGTCTTCATCAACATTTACCATTAAAACATGTATTTAGAGCACACAGTAAGATCCAAACAATACAAGTATCTTGTTACCTATTCAAATAAAAGAGTGCAGACATTACCTGGTAGTCCAATATGCTAAATCCAAGTCCCGTACTTCCTTTCTCCAGCTCAATGTGTTGTACTTCTGCTTCCCACATTGCCAAAGATGAGCTTTGCACCTCCTCCATACTCTGACCCCCGTCAGCTATTTCCAAAGCGGTTCTCTCCGTGTCCGAGGAGCCAATGAACCCAAGTTCTACGTGAGCCTGAGAAAACAGTGAATGTTCCCAAATAATGTTTGCGGATCTGCAGACACAAAACTCTGTTCGTGAAGAACAAGATAAAAAAACTAAGCGATGAGCCTCTAAACACAGATAAAGTACAAGTTCTAGGCAGAGTTATCAAGTCAGATTAGCCTAGAACAGAATTTACATGTCCTTGTAACAAAACAGCTATGCTGCCAAGTGTATGAAAGTGCTCACTGGAAAAGTTCCAAAAACTTCATTAGTGCATTAATTTAAATATACAGGAAACATCTAGTATTAAATGATATGTCTAAAAATACACATGTTCTTCAGTTCCCTTGGTTTCATAGAAAAGATTAGCAACTATAAACTGACGTTGGTGCCTTGCCCACAGCTCAGAATTAATGAAATGCTTTGTATACTGTACTGCAGGTAATTCCTACACGTTTCACACATCAGGCTGCCTAGAGCTTTGCACTTAAAAGCAACAGAGTGACCAACAGTGAATGCACATTCAGTTCTGCACAAGATAAATCTGGAAAGCAATGTTCAAAATCAGATTAAACATATTCAGACTCTGAAGAAAAGACAGTTCAACTTGCCACACCCCCACAGGCCACCTGCAGAACAGAAGTTAAGTACTTGAGTAGACAGAGCTGCATCCCAGAGTATTTCTGCCCATCATCTACCAGGTGGTAGACCTCCTAGTGGCCTAAAGTATGGCTGATAAACATAATTTGCCTGTTTCTGTTTATCTGGTTCCAAGTCCCAAAATGCTAAAACTACTTCTAATCTTGTACAAGAACATTTTAAGTTTTCTCTCAAGGAAACAGGCAGTTTCTAAGTGTATTTTTTAGACAAAATACCTTTTCTGTGAGCTGAACTTCAGACAGACTTAGACTCTCCAGTACTTCTGGGTGAGTGATGGGGGGAGCCACTGGACGACAGCACACCATTGTCACCTTAATTGGCAGTTCTTTCAAGATATTGACCACATCCTTGTGGTTTTCTCCAAGCAAAGAGATCTCATTCACCTCAACAAATAAAGAATACACAGTGTTTAGAAGAACACATCGTTTAGAATGTATTACAAAAATGGACAAAAAAAAAATCAACTCACTAATAATGTGATTTCTTGAAAAAACAACCCAAAACAATAAAAAACAGAGACATTGTCAACCCTTGATTTCTGCTCAGCTTGGTGCTCAGAGACAGCACCAAGATTAATTTTTAATTGTATGGACAGTCTTATAAATTGTATGACACGACCCTATAAACACCACATACTCTGTTACTTTGTATTTCTTGCATTCATGTGAATCAAATTCACATTTTTAATTTAAAAAAAATATTTAGAAAAGGAAACAGGTTAACATCTGTTTAATCCCTTTACTATATAGGGATATTCCTATTAAATCTTAATGCTTCCGCTAGGTATTCTTTTCTGTAGACCTTGAACTGTATCTGAAAAATCATCTATCAGCTGAGAAATGCAGGTAAGAATATGCATTCACGTAAAATATGTGTAAGTACCTACAAAGTGACTGCTCAACCACTTCTGTTTACAGATGGTACGCAGTTAGATATGCTACACTACCGAAGTCATAACCCACGAGAAGCAAGTGACTGCTCAAAAACCTTACTAAATACAGACTAAGATAAAGCGGTACTTTTTTCTTACTTCCAGCAGCTCGTCTCCGCTGAACAGCTTGCCACTTCGTCCAACTGGCCCTTCCGGCAAGATAGATCTGATGAAATGATGTCCCACCGTAGCTTCAAGGCTTATTCCTAACCCACTGCTTTCAGTAAATTTGTTAACTACAGCCACCTAAGAGGAGATGAAGTAATGGTTCCTTCTGACATATTTATAGCCTTATCTGTTACTTTCCTTTTCAATTTCCATGCAGTGAGGTGAACATTCCAGACATGAGAAAGCAGAAATATTTTCACGAGTAATGGAGACAGTCAGGTAAAAACTGAAACTTGGTCATGACCATTTACTCCTTCAGTATAAGCATTTACTCCTTCAGTATAAGCATTTACTTTCAGCATATGCAAGTGAGAACTCTGTATGACAGCAATATATCTAGTAATGCAGAGACTACAGCTCTGGAATATAATTTTGAAATAGAGTCTTAAACTCAGATATTGCTTTTCAGCTGTATCTACAGTAAATTTCCTATGCATTACTTTTATCATTACATCAAATAATTCATTTAGTATGTAGAATGGGTAGAAGTTTCAAGCATTAGCTTCAAATTCCAGCTAATGAAGGAAGTTTTGAAGTTCACCTTCAGTATTATTTTTCTCCAATATATATTTATCCTCTTGAATCTAGAAAATCTGTAAAACAATACTCATACACACAGTAAACTACAAAGCTTGTGATTATTTTGCTAAAATGAATTCAGAAAAATATATAATCATATTTGAAGTTTACAATCAAAACACAATAAATTCAACAGATTAAGAAGCATATGTATGAATTTTACAAATAAAGGAACAATTACAATACAAACATATTTCTATTTGTATAATATGTGGACACATCAAAGGAATTTACAAATATAATCAAAGTTTACGTACCACTATTTCATAATTTGAACCCATAATCCTCTGCCACTTTGCCTTAGCAGCTGCTTCTTCTGTAGTAGTTAGCTGGAAATCTAAAAGTTATGTCTGAGATTACTGTGACAGCATTTTGATATATTTAAACTAGTCTCAGTGTTGAGTGCATTTATGGGCACAAAGTAAATAAAAATGCTACATGAATGCCTCAGATATTTGTTAAACCCGACTGTATGCAAGGTGGTCATATGGTTTCAACGGATGATCAAAATACTTTCGTACGTGATAACTGCATACTGATCCTCTTGGACAGACCTTGCATTTTATAGAGAGTGCCCAAGGAACGTTTTCAAACAAAATCTACAGGATTTGTACTTCCAAAACTATGAGCACAACTGTAAAATATTTTTTTTAAAACTGTAGGTCCTAGAGGGCAGTGAGAGAATGGAAGACTTAACCTGAGGTTTTTCATGGTGTTTTTTTTGTTAGATTCACATATACGCACACATACAGTGAGAATAACCCTTCTAGCTAAAGAGCAGCAATGAAACCAGAAGAGAAGGAGGTGAGAAAAGTAGTGATGTTGCAAAAAATGCAATGATAGGCTAGGCAGTAAACTTCAGCAACTCTTGACTGAAAGTTTATCTGCAGGCTGAAAAGATAGAGAAATGCTTTCCTCCTGCTCCTCTTCTCCTCATTCATACTGTTTAAATTCTAGGACAGGGAAACAATAAAAAGCAGTATCTAGATACAACAGCCAGCAAACACAGCAAATTTAACAAAACCCTACATGATTTTATATTCAAGGTCCATAGTCTGTGCTTTGCCTACACTAAGTATCAAAATAAACTCTTCCAATGTGAAAGCTCATCGCAAACATTGAAATCCTTATTACAAGGTTAAATTCTCAGTTCCCACTGATGTTTAGTAAGAATCCGAAGTGACTAACAGCCTCAGAGAGTGCTTTAAATCTTGTCATCGCTCACGAACATTATTAAAGGCAAGTGTTATGTGGCATTCAAATACGACAATACTTTTCCCAAAGCTGAGATCCTGCAGTATCTGAAGGAAAGGTGTTAAATTCTTCAGCTATCCAGGGTAACAGAAAGCATGAGTTAGGAAAAGATACATATTACAGAACTCATATAGGTGATGCTTTTCAGTTCCCCTCTAGCTCTGGAAGCAGGAAAATGTCAGAAAACACATGAAGTGTTGTCTCAATCTGGAAAACATATCACATAGGACTCCTGAAATGCTGCATAGTGCCCTAAAAGCTCAAGAGCAAAAGGAAAATACTCATTAGAAAGTAAGAATTTCCACAAAAAGTATGGGAAAAATCAGAGCATAACAGTGCATCAGAACTACTCAATTTCAAACATTATCAGAGAACACGGAATGAAATGAATGCAAGCTCAGGAATTTTGTGAAAAGAAAATTTATCAGAAGATGCAGAAATCCTGGAACTGCAGTTGGGCAGATGCAGGCAGTTGGAAACGTAAGATAAGGAACTGAACAATGAGAAGGGAAAAGGTTTAATACAGAATAGAAATGCAAAGCTAAAGAGAGGGCTGAGGACGTAGGAGAAGCACACAGCTTCACGTGACATCTCCAACACATGTTATTTCCACACGTATACGGTAGTCAATGATCTTACAGCACTCAAGAGTACGTGCTCACAGGTATGATTTAGCTTTATTTTCTAGCTGTACCTCAGCTACACAGCACACAGGAGATGGAAAGGCACACAAAACACCTCATCTCCGTGTCAGCACACCCAAGTGCAGTTTCAGAGGATAAAATACTAAACGTTCAGAACCTGTTTCCTGTTGTTTCACATCCTCTCCAGTATTTACCGCACTGGTGCTGCATGGCAGTGATGGAGATCCCTGTTCTGTTTCACTGAAATCTAGAAAAAGAAGAATAAGCCTTTTCAGCTATTTTACATGTTACAATATTCATCAAGTTCAAACGCATGTCTCAGGGCATTGACTCTCTCTTCCACTGGACTTCACAGGATCCATATCTGGCAAACGTAATCTGGTATGAGAGACCCAGAAGAAATACTGTATTTTAAAGATATTTTGTCTTTTGGTAGTGCTTTGCCTTCTTCGATGGATTTTTCAATGAAATAAACAAACAAAAAAAAAGCACAACTATCAGTAGCTGCTGAAAGATTGAAAGGTTACTGGAAAACATGTAACATTCTTTAGCACTTTTGTATGATCTCTCTCTTTTTTTCTTTTTTTTTTTTCTTTTTTTTCCTGTTCTTCCCTTTGTGCCATTCAGGAAGCTGACATTGCAAAATGAAAATGCTACTGAATTGGAAACCTGCATCACTCACAAGACTTTTCACTTGTAGAAAGCCTCTACTACCAGAGAGTTCTGTTAGGTATGTTGTTAGCTGTCAGCTGTCTCGAATACCTCTAGGCTGCAGAAACAGCCCTTTCTGAGCATTTCCTCTATGTTCTCCTACAGGTGGGAATAAGAGGATACCATACTGGTAACACACTACTGTGTCTTCTAAAATTTTGTACAAAGTGTAGATTACGCCTCAGTCTATGAGTTCTGATATGCTTGTGCTGTCATCAACCTGTAATATAAGTAGCTGAAAAAAAATCTGTGCATCCAGCCTCTGTGCAGAAATTCTGTTCAAGCACACTGACTTCCAAACCTCAGCACACATACTTTGAGGCACACACAGTGTAAGATTAAGCTTTACTAATTGCATCAGCAGCAAAATTAATATTGGTCATTGGGTTCTGAATTTTGTACACATATAAAGTTAATGTCAGGTTATTAACAACTTCTAGATATAGGCCACTCCACTCATACCTCAAGCTTTTGACTCTGACACACAAGACTGAAAGGAATTGAGACTTGCTTTTGCTCATTGTGGAGGGTATCGCTTTGCTTGCTCTTGAATGCAGCTACCCTTGAGCACAAATAAAAAATTCACTGCCTGCTTACCATTTGAAGATTTGCAGGATCAAAGTCTCAAAGCAATTCAGCCAGAAGTGTGATGCAGCACGGAGCTTTCAACACTCACTTTGAAAATGTAGCAAATAATACCACTGTGTCTAAAAGATTAATCAAACCATAGTAGACCAAATTGTCCCCTCACGTACACAGCTCTGCCACCAGTAATAGCTACCCAGAATGAATCCAGCCCATATTATTTCCAGTTTGCAATTGAGAAGAAAATTGTTTCAAGCCAACTTTAAAGCAAAGCCAGTTTTAATTACCTTTGGCTGTGCTACTATCCATTGTTTGGAACAGTAAGTCCTTTTCAGCTGCAGCATTGAAGTCCTCCTGGGGCTGAATATGATTTTCCTGCTTAAGCCCTCTTCTGATCAAAGTGAGCCGAACCGTTTGTCCTGTGTGCCGCAAAACATCAACTGCTTGCTGGTTAGTAAAACCCTGAAGATTTGTTCCATCCACCTGCAGGATTAAGCAGCTTTTCAGCCCACAAGACACCACCCAGGAAAAAAAAAAAAATCCAGGGCAAAATAACATGGTATGCTCTCAGCATCTGTTAGCCTGAGCACAAAGCAAGTGGAGGGACAGGAACAAAAGCCTGGATGACTAAACAACACTGGGTACACTGAGCACTTTCACTGGAGTACCTCACAGCTAGTATCCCAGCAAAGTGGGGAGAAGTGCTTCAGGTGCGCAGCACAGCGTGGCCACAGAGATCTGCTCTGCAAAGGTGGGAGAGGATGCAACATGTGCTGCGTGGGGCACATTGTGCAGCCTGCCTGCTTGACCTCTGAGGAGAAAATACTGGGTGAATAAAGCAGCATAGCCACTGTTAGGAACGCTGGGATGGGGAGGGTGAGGAGAGACACATCCATCCACTGTGGTAAGAAGAAATACATAGCACAGCCTTTCTGAGGCCAGCTGACCTCAGGCACAGCACTACTGAATGCTATGAATTCCAACTTCCCAAACACTGTATCAGCCATTCACAAACTATCTCTGGCCAATCATTTCAGTATTTTAAAGAAAAAAAGATTTTGAGCTCTTCAGTTTAAAGCCATTCCATTGTTTATTAACTCAGGTTTTTCTTCTGAAACTCAAGACTATGGCATTGCTCAGTTTCATTCCATTATCTCTAGTACACATCGCTTTTTATCCTCCTCTTCCTGCAAACTCTCTATTATCCTATTATTTCTCTGTCTCACCCCCAGCGCCTTTAATTTCCAAAATACAACACTATATTCCTGTAGTTGTTTCTACACAACACACATATTCCATTATTTTAATTCCTCCTGCATGAAGAATGAGTTCCCCCAGACCCATAACATTTTGCTGCCCTTCTCTGAACTTCTTTCACCTCTGGTGCTCCTCTAAATATAAAGTAGTTAAAAATGAGTGGCACTTATTTAGTTATCTTCCTCTACATGTAAGCAAATCATACTCAAAAAACATTTATTATACTTTTGTTTGAGGTCACTTAAATGGAATACATGCACTTTTTCTTAGTGCCGCTTTCACACAAATTCAAGGACAGCCACAAAAACATGACTGATGCACTCATGACCTGGTTTTCACCACACAACCAACATTTTGTCCATGAAAATATTTTCTTCTTTCCCTGAGCATCTACAACTTTTATGATATACTTTTAAAATCATTTTGGAAACAGTCGTTTCATTTGAATTGGACTTCGAAACTTTGCCTTTACTAAGCAGTCTCAAAGCTCCGACTGATAAGACACATACATACAATGCATTTTCTTAAAAAACATAAGTTACCCACAGGTAGTAAAATCAGAAATCTAATGTGAAGTCAGGAAGAAAAAGGACTCACCATTTTAACACCAATCCTAAATGTACAAGTACAATACGAGCATTTCTTTACAACATAGTTTTGTAGACAAGTGATCACGTTCCTTTCTGTGTTTACTTACAACTATAATTTGATCTCCCACATGGATTCTGCCATCATGTTCAACAGCACTGCCCTTTGTAATGCTTTTCACAAAAATACCAGAAGGTTCTGGGATGAAGAAACAGTGACAATTGAATTACTTAATTTATTAAGAATCAATTTAAATAATGCAATAATCTCCTACTAATGCCACCAGCCAAAGGGAGAAAAAGAAAGAAGACACGATTTCCAGATGGGAAAAGAAGAGAATCATCAAAAAAGTATATGCTTTAAGTAAAACATGTATGTTACTCTTTTCCTAAAGGGTGACTCTGATTAAATGTCAGCTTGCATTGGACCAGATTTCATTGATCATCTTACCTTGGCAAATTCCAATTCTTGCTGCAAAACAGTAAATATTCTAACTTACTTTAATCTAAATGTTGAAACCAACATGGCCAAAAAAAAGTATCTCTGCCTCTTGGTCAGATTCAAAACTGCAGAATAGGAAATTAATTTTCAGTACACTAACGTGGAAAATTGTATATTTTCTATGTACTTACTGACTGCTTAAGAAAATGCATGCTTGGATAACCAAAGGTAGAAAAATGTTAAGGTACAGGACTTCAACTTACATTTGAATCAGCTTTTAACTACAGCCCTAAGTCATACCTGATTCAATAAAAAAAAAAAAAAAAGACATAAAGGAATAAAAAAAATTCAAACCCTGAAACAAAACCTTCTTAGGCATTTTAGGCATTTTGTATCAGAAGGAAAAGTCCTACACATAAAACACATTACACTTAAACAGAAGGGACATTTTAAAAACATAAATCAATTTCAGGAGAAGCATACTGGAATTTGAAACCACAGCTCAGTGAAGTGAAAATCTATAGAGTTCCTACACGTACATTTTGCATAGTATAAATAAAATTGAGAAAAATACTAGCACAAACTAGCATGAAATCTTGTCTTAGGAACACAAGCCTGTAACACTGGTATCAGAAATCTTACCAGAATCTACTTTCTCTGAACAAATGTTCCAATTCTGTTAAACGAATACATTTCATGGGAAGACAATCAACAACAAAATGAGTTTTAACAGCTGTCAAGGCACCCCAGTGCCTTTGCAGACCTGTAACCCATCTTTCACTGGGCCTCAACATGAGAAAAGTAAGCAGGAAAGACGGCTAAATCTATGTTTTGCTTTAATGACTATACTAAATTTAGAAAAAATATGACTGCAAATATATTTAAGCCATGATATTGACAATTCATTTCTCTTTTTAATTTATTTTTTTTTCCCCAGGTTTTATGAATAATTAGATGTCTGACCTTACTAATTTCCAAATGCTCCTATATCCTGTAACAGCTATATGGTAATATGACCAGTTGTTATTTGTGATTCATGAAAGATTCAGCTGCAGATACTGCTGTCCAGTAGGTTTTATTGCTGCTTGTCTGACAGCAAAGCTGTTCTTTAACTGTTAAGTCACAAAATTACGTGAGATGCCCAATTAATTCCTAAGGCAAGAATATTTTAATGCAGTTACATGCAGCACAGTAATTTAAAATCAAATTTAGGTGATAGTTAAGAACTAAATCAGTTAAAATACGCTATCAGTTCTAGTGCACGTTCTACAATTTTATTTGCCTTTTAAAGATTCAACTTGAAGATGCTAAACAGTAGACTTAAATGAACTGTGACCATCCTGTTCTATGAAATAGACTTTTAAAATTTAGTCCAGCTTCTTAGAGCCAACTAATCCCCCCTAAGGAGGCCTAACAAAGTTCTGAGTCATTTTCTGAAAAAATGTCATAAAAATACACAGCTGTACATGAATACTGTTGCATGTATTTATTTAACTTATTTATTAGCTGTGACAGCCCAGAGGTCAACAAGCATTTATTATAGCCAGAAGTCACAAAGGAATTCTTGATCTGTCAGCAGTACTACACACATTATTTAAAGAATAGTAGCAATACCTCCTAAAACTACTCGGAATTAACGTATTATCTTTTAAGAGCCTTTTAAAAATGAAAATGTAATTTAATAACACTTAGTTCTGACAAAAATGGCTCAATCTATTTTAGAATTGTTTTGCAATTCCTTTTTCTTTATAAACTTGAAAAATATTTGAGCGGTTTAAAGTTAATTTTAGTTTTGGTCTGTACAACTTCAAAAAAAGTCGTTGATGCACATACAACACAGTACACAAAACATTGCATAGCAAACGGCAGGAATCAATCCTTACCTGACGTTTTGTCTCCAATGTAACCAGCAATAGTTATTCCTAATCCCTGGTTGTTTTTAGTGAGCTCAACATTAAATTTCTCACCATCTCCACAGCTATCAACAGAAGCATCTGCCTAATAAGAAAAGCATGATTAGGACGGAGGCTTTTTTTTCCTTTAAAGATCCACTACAGTCCTTGATGTCGTTAACACGGTTAAAAAAAAAAAAAAAAAAGTACCAACTTTGGTCCTGCTCTTATTTGGTGTTCAGCAGAGAAACTAGATACAGGTAACAGTCTTCACTCTAAAGCAATGCAGCTGATTGTCCTCCCCACCCCGCTGCCTCTGAGATATCACCCTCTAACCTACAAAATAACTATTTGATGACTAAAATGTCTGGTGAAATTTGCACAAATTTAACAATGAATCTCTTGTACATTAAGTTACAGAAGCTATGCTTAAGCATTAGAATATGTAGCTTGCATCTGGGACCGCCTCAGAACCAGCTTAAGTGTGTTGTGTTATTAAAAAGAAGACAAAAAGATCAAAATTGAATTTTGCATTCGATTTGTTTAAATTCCTGTTCAACAACTAGTTATGTTTTTTCCTATGCATGCCAAGTTTAAAACATAATAAAAGCTACTACTAGTGAGGCAATTATATTTCTTGTTTTTGTAAGACTTGAAAATTTTGGGTTAGAAAGTAGCAATCACACTTCCAGTTAGGTAGATAGTGAAAATTTCTGCTAATACCTACGACGATCCTCTGAATTTCAGTAACAAAGAATTTTTGGGTAGCGAATTCATATATTTATTGCTAATGAAAGTAAAATACATATTAAAATCCCATTTCAACAACTTTGGTTTTGCATTTAGAAAAAAAAATCAACTTATAAAAATTAAATTTCAATTTTTAAAAAATATTTCATCTTGCAGCTCAGAACATAGTTAATAGCCAGTTCCATAGCTGATACATATCAGCATATCATATGATGACATATATAAGGCTTCAGTTTCACTGTATTTTTATAGACATCAAAATTTATGCACATATTTTAAAAGGGAATTCATAAATACAGTATGAATCTATCAAGATCCTGCTATCCTCGTATTTTATTCTTCTCTTTTGTGTGACAAACAGCAGCTAGCATTTTTTAAAGTGCCAATACGGCAACCAAGCTTGTGGCTCATGCTAACTAAAACCAGTTTGACTAGGTAAGTATGCACATGCCAAAAAAAAGACTTCAGGAGAGCTATGGTGCTACTTGCCAAAAGAGAAACTGACTTCAATTCTTTATCTGAACAACTCCACCTCAAACCACAATCAAACACCAGAAAAATAAATTTCTACTGCTTCAAGTAGCTCTCTGCTTGATAACAAAACTATTTTGGCCACAGGTAATGCTACTACTAGAAATCTGCTCCCATTTCTGTAACTGCATGAATTTTTACAGGATAGACATCTGCAGGGAAGACGATGAGATGTGTCCATCCTGTAAAGCCATTCTGCTCTCGCTGGTAGATTCAAGAACATCATGAAGCCTTCATCCACCCTGTATCTGTCAGGAAGAACTGACAAACCAAGACATTTCCATCATCATCTTCCCTCCAGACTTGAATTAAATAGGACTGCAGCACCATTAGTGGGTTGCTCCTTCCAAGAACAAGATTTTGTGCAGGCAGAAGTAGTTTAAAAATAGCCTGCCTCCTGCCAGGAGAGATGTGCCAGGAAAAAAGTATTGAGAAGGATGGAAATGGAGAGGAAGGTGGCAAAAAAGTTTTGCCACTTGGTGTTTTTGAGCTATTTCCTTGGTACCAGAAATCCTACACATCCTGCACCTGCAGATACAGCCTTCAACACTGCATCATCTAACTCCTTTTCTGCGACTGCTGCTTTTCAGTTAATAAAATTTGGGCTAAATATTGATCCGTTTATGCAAAATACAGCCAGGTTTTCTTGCCTCTCAGTGCTGTAGAGACACAGAAGTACCAGTCCATCTCCCCTCACAGATACTCAGAAAACTCCACATTAAGATTATTTTTCTTTGTATTACAGCCACAAAAGAGAATGAATATATGTTTGTTTTCCACAGATACAACTACAGTGGACAAGAGGCAAAACAACCGTAATAATGCAATAGTTTTTTTTCTTCCAGAATTATGTGTCTTGTAACTTGGAAGAAAACATCTAGAAAAACAACAGGAGAAAGTAAAACTAAAAATTCTTTGCAAGGCATAAATTCTATCTGGTTGTAGGCTCAAAACCAACCACCCTTTTCTTCCCTTATTCACTTACTCCACATATTCATATTTAAATGTATCTGGTCATAATTATATGTGACAAAATACTACTATTCCTGGCTCCCATGAAACCATGCTTTGCTGCTTACATGCAAATGACCTATTTTGTAGAGGTTTTATGCTGTCAGGACATGATAATATTTACAGCACTTTTTAAGTGGCTGACAATTGTAGAGGAGTAACAGCATAGAGAGTACAATTATCAGCAAGGGAATAAGTGTAGCAGCTGGCTGACTTTTTTTGGAAGATGTCTAGCAAATGAGCAATGCCAGGTGATGTAGGAAAGGAGCAGCATCTGTGTGCTGGTTGGCACAGGGAGTAACCATCTGATGAATGGCTGCAATGATAACAAAAATAAGATATGCTCCTGGAGAAGAAAAGGAGAGGCAGACAGAGAAAGGCTACAGAGCGAGCTTACTCTGCCTGAAGAAAAGATTGCATTACTGGACAATCACAAGCAACTCAGAACTATGTTATTCAGATCATACTTGTGGAAGTCCTAAGCCTTGATCCCAAAAGGCTTTGAGCACACAGTGCCTTTGCATTGTGAGCTCATGACATTCAAATTCTCTCAGACTGCCAGCTGAGAACACCCCTGCTGGGAACGAAAATCCTAGCTTTTGAGAACAAAAGCATGAAAGACATTGAAATAGCAGTTAGAACAAAAGGAAGTTTCAAGTAGAAGTTTGCCATGAGTTAAGTATATTCACTGTGGCTTACCTGTTTCTCTGGTGTGGAGATAGGTACTGGTGTACCTGGAGGGACTGCTGGTGGAGGTGGCTCCTCAACAGGACCTCTTGCAATTACCAGTTTCACTCGATTTCCACACTGCCTCAGAACTTGTGCCACCTGCTCACTGCTCATTCCAGCTAGGTCTGTATCACCAATTTTCAGGATGTGGTCTCCACTACACAATCTCCCATGCTGGAGAAAGAATAATGAAGAAAAAATCTGTTATCATTCTGCCATTTCTCCCACATACCACAAGATTAGAAACAGAGTACAGAGCTTTAGTCACTTTCAAGACAAATGAACCAAGTGATATTTTGGATGCCAAGTCAGTATCTTGGTAACATGGCAAAGAGAAGTAGGTGGTCTAATTGGACACTAATTTTAAGACAAATTTCTCAGGAAATATCCAGAATATCCTTTTCCAAGCAGTCAACCACCTGAGCACAGAAAAAAATGCATACAATTTTCGTTCTTACCTACTGGTATTTAACTGTATGTAGATTAGAAAATTTGAGGCTTCATTTCCAAAAAACACTTCTGAAAGTCAACATACAAACATATTAAGCTCTGCACTTCTATTTAAAAGCTGATGCTCAGGGTTAACTGTAACTTCAAAATAAAACATTTCTCCCTTACTGTGATATGGTCATTTATACTGCTTTACACTGGTTTACTATTCTAATGATGTACCTTTAATCAGTAATGCAGTTTCACATGAATTTAGCCCACATAAAAATAATTAAAAGAGAGCTGTAAAAGGAACCCATCTACCTGCTCACGGTAAGAGCATGGCAGTTAATCCTGTCCATACACCCCCATACCGTGTTATCACAGAATCATAGAATTGTCAGGGTTGGAAGGACCTTGAAGTTCATCTAGTTCCAACCCCTCTGCCATGGGCAGGGACATCCCCCACTAGATCAGGTTGCCCAGAGCCCCATCCAGCCTGGCCTTAAAAACCTCCAGGGATGGGGCTTCCACCACCACTCTGGGCAACCTGTGCCAGTGTCTCACCACCCTCATGGTGAAGAACTTCTTCCTAATGTCTAGTCTAAACCAATCCATCTTTAGCTTCAATCCATTCCCTCTAGTCCTACCACTACCCGACATCCTAAAAAGCCTCTCACCAGCTTTCTTGTAGGCACCCTTGAGATACTGGAAGGCCACAGTAAGGTCTCCTTGTAGCCTTCTTTTCTGCAGACTGAACAACCCCAACTCTCTCAGTCTGTCTTCATAGGAGAGGTGCTCCAGCCCTCTAATCAGCCTTGTGGCCCTTCTCTGGACACACTACAGCACATTCAAATCTTTCTTGTGCTGTGGGCTCCAGAACTGGACGCCGTGCTCCAGGTGGGGTCTCATGAGAGTGGAGTAGAGGGGGAGAATCACCTCCCTTGACCTGCTGGCCACGCACCTCTTGATGCAGCCCAGGACACGATTGGCTTTCTGGGCTGCAAGTGCACACTGACGGCTCATGCTGAGCTTCTCATCCACCAGTACCCCCAAGTCTTTCTCTTCAGGGTTGCTCTCAAGCCAGTCACTGCCCAGCCTATACCTGTGCTTGGGATTGCTCTCGCTTGGCCTTGCTGAACTTCACATTTTCAAGGGCCCACCTCTCATGCCTGTCCACGTCTCTCTGGATGACATCCCTTCCCTCCAGTGTGTCAACTGCATCACACAGCTTGGTGTCATTGGCAAACCTGCTGAGGGTGCACTCAATGCCACTGTCCATGTTGCTGGCGAAGACGTTAAACAAGACTGGTCCCAGTGCTGATACTTGAGGGACTCCACCACCACTTCTGTGGCTGGAAGACTGATAAGACTATACAATCTTTAACTATCATTAATGCAGTCCTAGATACTTGTCCAATGGACAAGCTTGAAATGAGCTGTGATCACCAAACTCAATTTGCATGAACCCTTCAAGCATGGGAAAAGCCTGTGTCTTGAAGCAGACATGAAGCCACAAGCCTGCTCCAAGCTTCAGTAAGCCCAGTGGAAAGAAGCAGATGTACTTGTTAGCTGTTGGGGCAGAGCAAGCGTTTGGTGCCCCCTGCCACCGCTGGATTACAACCAGTATATTCATGAAAGAATTAGCAGCCTAAATGTATAATATAACATGTTTGAAAATGTGATTTAGAGCCCAGTCCAGCTTTAACACGCAACTGTACAGATCATCTGCACTTGTATTGGGTTGGCGCGGCCGGATTTTAGTGGCGGCAGGCAGGGAGCTGCAGGGTGGCTTCTGCAAGAAGCTACTAGAAGCTTCCCGAGTTTGATAGAGCCAATGCCAGCCAGCTCCAAAGAGGGACATGCCACTGCACCAAGGCTGAGCCTATCTGTCTCTGTGGAAACATATTTAAGAACGGGGACAAAGAACTGCACCACAACAGCTGGCACGGAGATGGAGGAGTGAGAATCTGTGAAGACACCAAGGTCAATGAAGAAGGAGAGGGGGGAGGATGGGCTCCAGGCGCCAGAGCAGAGAGCGC